CTCGCTGTGTCTCTCTCTGTCAAATAAATAAATAAAATCTTAAAAAAAAAAAAATTTCTCAGTTCAAAATCTCAATTCCTTAAAGGCATTCCAATAAAAACTTATGGAGGGCAAGTCAATCATAAATAAGACCCAAGGGGAGAGAGGTGGGCGCCTGGCTGGCTCAGTCAGAAGAGCCTGCGACTCCTGATCTCTGGGACTCTTGATCTCTTGATCTGCGGCTCCTGAGTTCAAGCCCCACAATGGGTACAGAGATTACTTAAATAAATACATAAATAAACTTAAAACACACACACAAATAAGACCCAAGGGGTCAGTGTAGCTCTCTGCTTCTCGTCAAGGAGACAAGTCTGGGGCCCTCACTGGAATTAATTAAAGGATCATTTTCTAAACTCCCCAAATGTAGCATAAGGTCATTCAAGGGAACTTTCCAGGGCCTTCTCCATTTTTCAGTAAGGACAGAGCACTGAGGGGTCTCTGTTCTGCAGAAGTGGTAAAAGAAGGGGCGTCTGGTGGCTCAGTTGGTTAAAAGTCTGCCTTTGGCTCAGGTCATGATCCCAGGGTCCTGGGATGGAGCCCCGCATCAGGTTCCCTGCTCAGCAGGGAGTCTGCTTCTCCCTCTGCCTGCCACTCCACCTGCTTGTGCTCACTCTGTGTCGAATAAATAAAATCTTTAAAAAAAAAACAAAACAAAAGAAGAAGTGGTAAAAGAAGAGAACTACCTCTCTGGAGAGGATAAGGAAGGAAGAGCTGCACAAAGTTGGGGGTAGGGGGTCAGAGCCAGGGCCAGGTGGCTCTCCAGTTGGCCCTGCAAATGCTAGGTGTCCCTGGCAGCCTCTTACCTTCCCAAAGCCAAAGCTGTAGATATTTTGCGCAGAAATGACTCCAGCTTTAAGCAGACGATTAGGAGAGCCATTGGGGTTTCTAGAAATAGTTTTAAATGGAAGAAAAGTTAAGAATTAGCCACCCATATCCAGAGGAACAATGCTGAACCAAGCTAGGAGAATGTGTAGTTCATTTTGTCTTGACTACTTGACTTTTTATCACGGAACTACAGATGATATAATAGCCAGCCTATGAGAGGGCCCTGCGATTTCTACCTCCTGGTAATCCTGCCTTTGTGAAACCCCTTCCAGGTCAGATAGGGCAGACCTGTTAGCCCCACTGGACACTGAAGAAATGACAGAGTGGTTGGATTCCAAGCCTGGATCCATCAGGGCTTCAGTTCTGATGATGCTCCGATTACCTGCTCTGAAGGAGGCCAGCTGCCATGTTGTGAGGACACTCGAGCAGCCCTATGGAGAGGCTCAACATCCTGGCCCAATCTGTCAGCCATGGGAGTATGCCATCTTGGAACTGGATCCTCCAATCCCAAACCTTCAGATGATAAAGCCCCACCTGACATCTTGACTACAGCTTTGTAAGAAACCCCGAGCCAGATCCATACAGCTAAGCCATTCCCTGAGTCCTGACCTACAGAAATTGTATGAGATACAAACATTTATTGCTATTTGAAACTCCCAAGTTTGGGGAGGTTGGAGGGGATTAATTCAGATGGTCAAAGCTGGAAAGAATCAAAACATACTTTATTCAACTTTTGTTTTTATAGATGGGACAAACGAAGCCCAGAGAGAGGGAACCTGTTAGTCGGGGGTCACAGAGCAGCAGGAGAGACCAGACCCTGATGCTGCTCATTCAGCCACTGCTCTTCCCATATACCACACCCAAACCAGCACCTGCACACTGGGACTCCCATTAACTGAAGGTATCTTGAAAGGAGTGGCTTATTTCTTTCGCTCCCAGAGGCTGACACAGTGCCATGCATGCAGCAGGTTCTCAGTTAATGCTTTCTGATTTAGTAGTTTGGGCTCAGACTGAAGAACAAAACATTCTGCTACTGCCAGAGCCATGTTCCCTTCCTCGGCAAATGGCAAAGGAGCTGCGGGTGACAGCGTGCACTCATCCTCACCCCATGCGAGCTCTGTGAGGCTCCATGTGCCCACTTTTCATGAACAGAAGTAAATTCTTTGACTTCTGCTTTCGGAAGTACTTCCGGGCTTTATCTCCTTGGCAACTCAGGCCAGGCTGTCCCTTCCGCACATTAAGCTGCTAGGAGGTTAAGTAAAGATCTAGGGGACAGCAACTGTTTCCTGAGCAGGGCAACAGATTTTGAGATGGCAGCAAGGGCAGGCCTCCACACTGGGGCCGCCCGGCCGTGTGAGTGGCTCTTCGGAGGGCAGAAGCTCTGTTTAAGCAGGGACCCGGGCAACAACTGCACTCAGATCAACCACATTTCTTGCTCTTTTCCCTAAATTCCTCAGGCCATGTCTATGTAAGCTCAGCTGGGTGGAGGGGAGAAAACGGACTCCCCTTATCTACAACCATACAACCATCCGTTCTTCTCAATTGTCTTTCCCCCAACCAGGCTCTGAGATGTAAACACGTACCTGTGAGGAATCTTATCTGACATGGCCCCACTCAGATATGAGAGGCCAATTCTTATCCCACGGACTCACATGGTTTCTTTACATTAAAAAAGGGAGATGTGTGTACTTCCACTCTACTTTCCATTAGGCACTCTGTGGTCCAACCCCATAAAAAGAATAATGTTCCATCTAACTATAAAATATGAGAGACGCAATTTTGAAGCTCCATCTTTCTTTCTGACTAATGAACTCCTGAACTGGGACAGAAGCAGCAATGGTTTTACAAGAAGTTGCCCATAAAATTCAACAGAACAAATGGTATTCACACCATAAAACTGTTGGTATGAACTTTAAGACAGAATAGTTAACAAATACCTACCAAGAACAGTTCCATTTGATAGCACCAATAAAATAGGGAGCAATTAAAAACAGCTCAAGCAGTTAGCACCAGTTAACAGATTTATTTTTCTCTTCTCTTCTTTATTTGTTATATAATAACCCCCCCCTTCTTTCTCATAAAAAAGGCTCAATTTCCCTACTTTTCTGCTGGCTACTTGAACCTGTGCTCCCTGGACTGCAATTCTGAGACCCCCAAATAAAAGGCCTTTGTCTCTTGTTCAGTTTTACCTCCTTTTCTCAGGTGGCAGTGTTCAGTCTTATTAGAAACAGGCAAGAACATATATAAATAAAATCATTACACACTGGGACAAGTCTCTCCAAACTCTGAATGAGGGAGCTCCACACAAGGGGGAGTGGCAGGGGCAGGCAAGGAGGTGGCAGGAGTTGAACCCAGTAGGGCCTCCAAGGTCAGATAAGGGATTTGGGAGTTTATCCTGATAGCTATGGAGAATGCCCTAAAGGGTTTTTAGCAAAGAGTGGCACAACTCGATTTCCATTTTTAAAAGGTTGTTCTAGGGGTGCCTGGGTGGCTCAGTCGTTAGGCTAGGCGTCTGCCTTTGGCTCAGGTCATGATCCCAGGGTCCTGAGATCGAGCCCCACATCGGGCTCCCTGCTCAGCGGGGAGTCTGCTTCTCCCTCTCCCACTCCGTTTGTGTTCCCTCTCTCGCTGTCTCTCTGTC